GCCCAGCTGAGGGTACCCACAGACTCGACCGGGTGCTGTGGTGTGGCTCAGGGCCTTCTGGGGCCAGGCCAGCACCCAGGTAGATGGTGCTTAGCACTGCCAGGGTGGATCCGTGCTCGCCTGTCCTAGTGGTGAGCGGGCATTTACCCCATGGACATTCTAAACTGCCATGCTGTGTGAGTGTGTGGTGTGTGTCTCGGAAGGATCGGTGGCATTGCCAACCTGTCACATCAGCCCAGAAGCCCAGCTGGGTCTGTGGTCAAGACTCCTGGGTCCATCTGACTCCTCGTAGCTTCCTAGGGAGACGCTGGGGTCAAAGGTCAGGTAGCCAGGGCTCTGGACCAGCTCTGCCTCAGCTTTCCCACTTACTTCAAGCTTCCAGTTTGCCATAGGCACGCCATGGCCAGGCCTGGCAGCAGCACCTTCTTCCTCATCCTCCTCTCCAGGCCTCTCCCCCGGCCCACACTGAATCCCTGAATGAGATGAGTGATGCCCTGAAAATGTCTTGTCCTTTTGGAGACCCCACGCAGCCTCCCAGGAGCCCAAGGAGGGGAGCTCCAAGCTGCATGGTGTCTGGTGCCCTGTTGCCCTGGTCAGGATAGGTATCACCTTCTGGGGTGTCCCCACATTTCCCCACAGCCCTCAGGGGGGCTGGAAGAGCCTCTGGTCAGCACCTGTTCCTGCCTCCCTAGTCTGGTGGAGCCTCTGGAACCTGGGCTGGGAGGGGGGAGAGCTTCCACAGAAAGGACAGAGCACCTTGAAGGGGGGCATGGAGCAGCTGAGAACTGTTCCTGTCCCTCTCAGGTCCCCGAGGCTCCGTGCCTCAGAGCTGGACTTCTTGCCCTGACCCCTCGCCTAGCTTGTGTGATAAAAAAGGAAAACAGCCATGGTAGCTCCTCCCAGGAGTGCCCTGGTCTGGGATGTTGCTCAGACTAGCTGGGTAACGTTCTGAGGTCCCATGAAGTCCCCAACCCAATGGTGTCCTTTCAGGGAGGGCCCACACACCCTGGAAGCTATCACCGGGCTGTTGGGAGCTCTGACACAGGTGTTGCAAGGAACTGGTGGGATGGATACACCCAGCTCTCTGGGGAGGAGGAGGTGGCCTCACCAGCCAGGCCTGCCCTGAGAAGCCCTGGGGAGGGAGTTCCTACAGGCTCCCTAGGAGCTGTCTGCCTTCTCCTGCACTCCAGACCTTGTGGACTGGTTTGGTTAGGGTTCGCCTGGCCCTGGGGTAATGGGGATCACACCCACCACTTCTGAAACCCCACGTGTCAGACCCCCTCCCCATCTCCCACCCCCACATGGGAGCCTGCCCCCAGGAGCCCATTGGTAACTATTCGTCTGACCGACTGGTGGTGACAGCTAAACCTGGGGTGCCCTGAATTGGCAGCTGAGGGCTTACTCCTGCCTCTGCTATTAAGTAGTCCAGTGCATGACCCGGAGCAAGCTTTTAGCCAGTTTGGTTAACTCTCGGTGAGAGCCAGCCCCCGGGCGGCTGGAACGTGTGCCGCCCTGTGATCAGGTAGATCTGCGCCCGAGGCCTGGCCCTGCGGCTTCTGCACCATGTGCCCCTGTGTGAGAAGCAGTCTCCCTAAACCCAGGCTTCTCCTCCACAAGGTAGGGCTAACAGCACCTTCCTCGGAGCGTGCTGGGGGAGCTAGATGAGAACAGAGGCAGCGCACCCCGTGCGGGCTCCGGGCCTGGCGCACTGGTCCTGCCTATGAAGCTGGGGGCGGGAAGGGGGACTATTGGATTGCCTAATAGCCAGTCCGGAGGGTCAAAGAGCGACATCTTTTCCACATGAGCTGGCAAGATCCCCCTGTCCTGAGTAGGTCTCAAGGGGAAGTAGAGTCCTGGCACTCTCAGCCCCAGGAATCCAGGCCCGAGAGGAGGCTGGAGCCGGAGCTGGGTGCCTGCGGCCTGAGCAGCTGTGCCCTTTCTCCCACGGGGCTTCTCCGAAACCCATCAGGCCCACCCTCCCTGCACAGCTGTATGGTTCCTAGTGCGTCTGAATACGCTTCTCTCCTGTTGGCCATACAGTTCATGCCTTGAGCTCCAACCCCCCTGAGTGCTCCCTGGTCCTTACCCAGGACCCTCCAAAGACCCCACGAACCAGAGGATCCGTGCCCACCCGTGCTCCAGGGCTGCGGCCCAGCTGGCCTGATGCCCGGCCGTGGCTGTTGTTAAATAATTTGATTTTCACCCTGATAACCAGCCAAGGCATCCCATCCCAGGGACAGGCTTGTCCAAGTCCTTAAAGGGTTTTACCCTTACCACACGGTAAGCTACCCCATAAACTTGGGTTCCATAATGTCACCAGTTTCTGGTTCCCATCTGCACAGCCACAGACATTGTGCTTTGTTCTATTGGATCTTTCTACTGTGTATCAGTTACCTCCAGGGCCATGAAGTTTCACTTCTCCCTAGTACCACTTCTATCGAGCTGCTTAGAGCAGGAGCAAAATAGGTACATTCATTTTTATCCAAGACGGTCATTTTTCACAGACCTGGTTATCAGAATCATCTGGGCCCAAGACTTGAGTCGCATGTTCCCACAGCCTTCCTCCCAGTGTGACCCGAGGGGTTCTCTCTCAACCCCCCTTGCCAGCTTCTGTCTCCCTGCTGGTGAGATCTCAGAGTCATTTGTAGAGCACTTTGGAATTGGGTCTCTCCTGAAAATTCCTGAGCTAGAAGTTGTGATTTGAGACTCCAGGTAGACCACAAAGGAGCCTTCTGTGGCTCCTGGGAAGTAGAACTCCTCCACGAACCTTAGGCTCTGGTATGCGCTGGCTCTTTAAAAAAGAGAGAGAGATTGTGGAATATGGTGGCAGAAATATAGCGAGTGCAAGCATTGCAAGTAAAAGGACTATCAGAGTTTGGGGGTTATTGTGGAGTCTTGGGGGAATTCAGAGTGAAAAGAGGAATCTGTCAGGAAAAGAGGTTCTAAGAGGAAAAGATGAAGGAGGAGGGGGTAGGGACAAGTGACACCTGTCTTTGCGTTGAACGTTAACGGTCGCTTCCAAGTAAGGCGACACCATGGTCATGGTTACGGGCTCAAGCTGAAGAATTAAAGCTGGATTCAAACTTGGGCTCCTTTGATTCTAGCTGAGGGCCCACCGTCAAAGGACTCAGTCTCAGATTCGCCATCTGTAAAGTGAGGCTAATAATAACTGCTCCGTGGAGGGGGGAGGCGTTGTGAGGACTGAGTGAGGTGGAACACACACTACGCTTAGCATATGGCAGACGCTCGTCAGGTCGTCGCTGAGGTGGTTAGCGCTGCTGAGTCAGAGTGGGAAGAGGTGGGCAGCCTCCCTAGAGGGTGCCAGGATTAGATGACAGCAGAGGGCTTTTCCTGGAAGGCAGGGGGACCTCGAGTGAGGTCCTGAGGGAAGCCATGAATGCTCATGCCCTTCCAGACAAGACACATGGGGGAGGGCAGCCCCTCTGGGGGGTAGGAGAAGGGCCGTGATGGCTGAGAGCCCTTCAACACTATGAAATGTCCCTGAGGACTGACCCTCGCCTGGGCTGAGACCTCTGGCCGCCCATTTGAACTCTAGATGTACTCTAGATGAACTCTAGATGCTCCTCTGAGAATGTAGGCCAGTGAGAACAGGCTTTGCCACAACCTCTCTCCTGGGTGAAAACCGACTCCCTCTTCTCGCCAGATCAGACCAGGACACCCGCTCCGCCTGACAGGGGGGTGAGAAATGAGGAGCCCACCCTGCCCAGAACGGGTCTGGCCAAAGGCCCAGCCCTATTTCCAGAGCCAGGGGAGAAGTGGTGTTTATGGCCTTTGGCTCGAGTCATACAGCTCCAAACAGAATCCTGTGAGATCAAGTTATTGACCGTGAAGACACCCAATATTTCAGAGCTAACCTCACGAAGGGATTCCTCACACCTATTTATAACTGTCCGTTTGGCTTTTGCTCTGATTCTGAGGCAGCTGTTGGGGATTGAGGAGGAAGAGGCCCTAATTCTATCTCAGGGTCTATGTAGCAACCTTCCCAGGCATCATTCTGGAGTTGCTGCCTAGAATGAAACCCCGGAAGAGGCTGGAAGGACAGACATCAAAATGATGACAGTTCTCATGACAAGAAAAAAGATCATTGTCACTATGTATGGTGGTGGGTGTTAACTAAACTCATTGTGGTAATCATATTGCAATATCTGTATATCAAATCATTATATTGTACACTTAAAATGAATACAATGTTATATGTCAATTATATCACAATTTAAAAAGATAGCAATTTAAAAATGCAAGATTTAAAATGTAAGAAAAGTGTCTGGCAAATAGTAAGTGTTCAATAGATGCTAGCTTGCTCTTGCAGTATTATTATCTCTGACAATAGCCAAGGCAGATGAACTATCTGTGTTGAAAATAAAAATAATTATAACATTTAAAAAACCCCAAAAAGGTGATAATAGTGATCGTCTCTGAGTGGTGGGATGCTGGAGACTCTTCTTTTTCTTCATATTTTTGTGATTTTCCCAAAACCCCCATAATATTTTAAATAGAGAATTGCATCCTCTTAAAGATGTATAACGAGATTTTGGCAACATAGGGTGAACTGTGTGGAGTGTAAAGGGTTCTAGTTCAAAGGCCTCTATAAATATGGTCATTTGGTCCGTGGGAGGGATCCCAGGGCATCTGCCATAGGCATGGGCTAGGAGTGATGGTAAACAGACTCCTCTAAGCCTGGGTAAAACTCTCGGGGAAGGGACTTCAAATCCTGAGATTCAACCAGGAGAAGCATGAACAGAACAGGCCTGAAGCCGTCCCCTTCCAAGGGGTGCTGGCTCGTAGTGGGGGGAGGAGAAAGCCCCTCACCTCAGCAGCCCTGGGGACCAGCAGCATCCTCCGGAGCCCAGAAATGCAGATTGACTGGGAGGAGGCTTCTTGGGTCTGAGCAGTGGGAGCCTGTGGCCCACTTGAGCCGCTCTCTCTGTCAGTTGTCATTGCCTGAGGAGTGAGCCTGCTAACCTCATCTCAATCCACAGGGCGAGCTGTCTCCATGCCACCTACTGACCGTGAAGGTCATCCGGATGAAAAACGTCCGACAGGCTGATAGGGGTGAGTATCCTCCTGTCTTCCCTCCTTCTCTGCTTGAGGGACGTGGCTGGAGTCAGGCTCTGGCTGGAGACACATCAGAGGTGTGGGGGGGTGCGGGGGGGGGTGTCTGCCATAGTCAGGTTGTATTTCAGACTTTGGGGTTTACATCATTTTTCCAGGCCCCTCCTCTCACCTGTGACCTTGGCACGACCAGCCCCTGCAGTCCGCCTGGGTCTGAGAACCCTGTTCACCTCACTCTCTCCTCCCCACTCCCCCCTCCTCTAGCACCCATTTCCAGGAGCATCAGCTTCTCCCACACTGGGCCCTCCTTGCTTCTGCATGAGTTGATGTGCTGTTAGAGGTGAAGGAGAGGGAGAGGCCCATCTGTCAGCCTAGCCCCAGTGCCCCTTCTCGGCGCATGGATTCTAAGTTGGGTTCTGGAGTTCACGACAGAAGCCACATTGCGCCAGCTCTGCAGCGTAGTCCCGTGGATGCAGTTTGACTCACTGGCGCTGTTTGTGCGGTGTTTTCTCGCAGACTTAACTTCGCCCTCATCCCAGCCCCTGCTGCATTCCCAGGTTAGGGGGGGCCCTGGGAAGTCTCTGGCTTCAGTGAGAAATGAATGCATCTGGGTAGGCAGGATGCTCCCCTCACGCTTGTCTTTGGGGTGGAATTTGAGAACTCCGGAGAACCCAGATCCCCTCCCTATGCCACCTTCAACCTGCCCCATCCAGAGAGAAGCTTGGCCCTCAAGGAGGAGAAAGCTCTGTGTCAAGGCCCTTTGGCTGAGAGCATGTCCCCACTCACTGGTGACCACACAGGAATAGTCCAAGAGCCACCAGGGCTCCCCAGAGCTCCATTATATTCGTACTACCCTCACCCTGGGATTCAGGCTAGAGAGGGCCTCAGGGGGGCAGAGAATGCAGAGAGCTATGATACCAAGTGTGCATTTTAACAAGGGGAGACATTTATACCCGAAGCAATTATAGACTAGTAACAGGAGATGGCATTCTAACTTGTCATTATAGAATTTAGAACTGGGGTGGGGGAGGCGCCTAGATGGCTCAGTCGTTAAGCGTCTGCCTTCAGCTCAGGTCATGGTCCCAGGGTCCTGGGATCGAGCCCCGCATTGGGCTCCCTCCTCTCCCTCTCCCACTCCCCCTGCTTGTGTTCCCTCTCTTGCTGTGCCTCTCTGTGTCAAATAAATAAATAAAATCTTTAAAAACTAAAAAAGTAAAAAGAACTGGGGGCAACTGGGTGGCTCAATCAGTGAAGCAGTTAAGCCTCTGACTCTTGGTATGGGCTCAGGTCATGATCTCCAGGTTATGAGAGGGGAGCAGCATAAGCGTAGGGCTACATGCTCAGTAGGGAGTCGGCTGGAGACTTTTCCCCTCCCTTTGCCCCCCCACTGTCCCACCCCCTGCTCATGCTCTCTCTCTCAAATAAATAAATAAATAAATAAATAAATAAATAAATAAAATCTTTAAAAAAGAACTGGAGGAGGGCACTGAAAGCCGGGAGTAGCTAAGGAAGGCTGCTCTGAGGACCTGGAGTCTGAGAGGGGCAGAGTGTGAGCGCCTAGAGGTCCTGGGAGCCCGATCTGAGGGGAGAGGCCATCTTGAGGGCGGGAGAGAAGCCACTTGGCCTCTGTGAGCACCTGCCGGGGGCCGCCTCCAAACAACACTTGCTTCTCTGAACAACCTGAGGGTACTGCTGTCACCCATTCAGCACGTGAGGGCTAATGATTGCCTAAAGGTGGGAGTAGTAGAGGGGACAAGCAGGAGAAGGAGGCTGGGGCCCGGCAGAGGAGGGATGGGGATCCAAGGGACAGGGCACCCGAGCTCCTGAGGAAGGGATTGCATGATCTCCTGAGGCAAGAGGCAGACTATGCTGGAGCATAGGTGGGGAGAAGCTGACAAACTTGCGGAGAAACTGTTGCCACAATGCAGGCATGAGTGTGCAGGGCAGAAGCGGGAGGGCCCTGGGGCTGAGGGAAAGCCAAGTGGTCGGGAAGGACTCCAGCTGGACCCCCTGGAGGGCGGGTGTCCAGAGCCCAGGTCAGCCAGCGTCCAGCTTGGGCCCGGCTCTGCCAAGAGGCTGGCAGGAGAGCCGGGGACTTCTCGGGCTTCTCGGGGCCTCCCAGGCCACCGGAGAGTGAGCTGAGGAGAAGTGTTCCCTGGGCAGGGCCTGGCCACCTCTTCTGCCTTTCTTGCCCATGCCACGGTGGGTCACTCAGACACTTCACCCACCCCCGGGCAGTGCCCACCCACTCCCCACATCCCCGGGATACCCACAGCTTGCACATGCCCACAGCTGCCCTCATCTGTCTCCACTCCTGAGGTGTGTCCATCCCAACCCTGCGGGTCACCCAGGCTGCACACTCTTGTGGCATGCCTGTATCTGTGTGCAGACCTTCCCTTTGTCCAAGCCTCTCTCTTCTGTCTTCTCCTGCCACACGCATCCCCTGCACATCCCAGAGGTAAGGGGATGGGGGAAGAGGCAGCCAGACAAACGGGCTGAAGTCGGACCCACCACCTTCTTCTTCCCTTTCCCCACGAGTCCCTCTGGCACACAGACTGCCTTTGGGAGGTTTCCAGGTCCCCTTGGGGAACCCCTTATTGTTTATGTTGTCCTCATTTCCCCTGAGGAACAGGGTGGGAAGCATCCATGGTGTCTGGGAGGGCCAGCCCAAGGCCCGTATGTGTAGACCCCACAGTGGACCTAGGCTGGGCTCTGTTGCTGCCTTGCCTGATATGGTTGGTGACTATCATGATGTCTTCTGGGTCCTGGGTTACTCTTGCCCCAAATTGTTCTCTTCTAGCTTGGATCAAAAATGAGCTCCACTCTGGTTCAATCCTCTAGTGTGTGCCTGAGTTTCCCAAGATTTCAAGGAGCCTGAAAGGGATGAGATTCAGGGATGACTCGCTTGTCAAGGAGCATTCCACCCAGCCCTGGGCCAGGACTGGATAGGGTGGACTTGGAAACCTCCCAGTGGCCAAGAGCTTTTATTCCTCTTGGGAAAATCAAGTTAAAACTCAAACCAGTACCCCAAGTGATGCGAGGCGGTGTCTCTAGAGGTATTAGGAAGATCATGTTCTCAACATCTGTAGATCTCATTGAGTCATCTTCTGCCCTCCATATCCCAGGAAAGGAGACATGTCATTCAAATGACTAAGCCCTCTATCACTTAAGAGGAACAAGGATTAGAACCATCTATGCCTAGGAAATCCCCTGCAGTCTCTGAAATCCTCAGAATTGGGTCAGCATTGCCTAACCATTCTCTATTGCCAGCATGCCGGTCACTCCCCTTCCAGTCAGAGTATCCTCCGGGCCCCTGGCGGCCTTGCTCCATCAAGTCATCTCTCCCTTCCAAGGATTTCCCCTTTCTTCGGCTGCACTCTCCTTCCCAACCTTGTGGAGAGAGGTGGGACCAGCTCTCTCAGAAAGAACTGAAAAACAAATCAGTGCTGGAAGTGTGGGTGTCTGATCAATCCTGTCTCTTCTAGGAGTATTTGTATCTTACCTAGAGATTTAAACCCTAGGTAAAAAATACTGAGATTTTTTTTTTAAAGATTTTATTTATTTATTTGAGACAGAGAGAATGAGAGAGAGAGAGCACATGAGAGGGGGGAGGGTCAGAGGGAGAAGCAGGCTCCCTGCCGAGCAGGGAGCCCGATGTGGGACTTGATCCCAGGACTCCAGGATCATGACCTGAGCTGAAAGCAGTTGCTTAACCAACTGAGCCACCCAGGCGCCCAAAAATACTGAGATTTTATTTAATGGGCTTAATGGGAGAATTTTAGGCATGGACTGATAATAGGAAAGGGATTTTAGAAGCAAAGGGGCCTTTACGGGGTCGATCAAATCATGCTAAGTAAATGGGTATAGAGTTGGTGGGGTCCCTGCCTACAGGCTCCTTCCTACTATACAAGAGGCAGACCTGAGGAGAATGTCTCAGGCTGAGGAGGAATGGTGGGTGTTCCAGGAAAAGCCAACGGAGGGATCCCAGGAGATCCCTGGGGAGTCTCCCTATAGGCAGAGCAATTAGAGATCCAAGTTGCTTACCTATATCTGGGGTGACTCAGCCCAGAATTTGATACAGTGCTCTCAAGCAGGAAGTTGGGCTTTTCCATTCAATTCATTTATTTATTCAACAAATGATTAGTAAGTGCTGACACATGGTCTCCAGGCCCTCCCAGCATTCAGGGTGCAGTGGAGACAGATGCTCTGACTTGCACTGGGGTGCAGTGTAGCCAAGCCCTGCCAAGAGAAGGGCAGAGACTCTAAGCTGGGGGGGGCACCTGGCCGAGATGTGGGGGTTCAAGGAAGGCTTCCAGAGGAGGTTCCTTCTGAAACCTGAAGGGGCTAGCCAAGGGAAGGGTGAGGCAAAAGTGGAAGAGAACGGTGTTCTAAGCAGAAGGAATGGCAAGACAGCATGGCACTTCTGAGACCCACAAGTGACTGGGTTTGGCTGGAGTCTAGAGGGTGAGTGCAAGCACTTTGTGTGTGTGTGTATGTGTGTGTGTGTGTGTGTGTGTGGTGGCAGGGCAGGGACTGGGTGATAGGGAGAGTAGAACGAGGAGGCTGAGGCTGGGGAAGTGGGAGAGACAGCCATGTTGAGCGGTTGGAACTCCTTCTTCTTGAGGGCAGATGGGAGCTACTGCAAGATTTTAAACTGGGAGTAATATGGTCAGCTCTCAAAAGATCCCTCTGGTTTCTCCTGAGAGAAAAGACAAGAGTAGGGCAAGACAAGAGCCAGGGCGCCCAGTCGGTAAGCGGCAGCAGAGGAGACGGTGGCCTGCAACAGGGCAGGGGTGGTACAAGTAAGAAGTGGGTGGGCTGGAGAGGTCAACGGAGTTAAACGTCATGGAAGAGCCAAGGATGGTACTTGAGGTCTGGCCTGGCCATCTGAATTGATGGTGCGGAGGAGCAGGTTGGACATGGAGGGGATGGGTGGGGATGATGAGGTCATCATTTTCTTTAGATTCTTCTGGGTTTTGGTCATTCTTTGTGTCTGGATTAAGCAATTATGACCTCTAAAAGGCAGTGTCATCCCACCTTTATTCAGTGGGAAGAGGGCCATGAATTCCAATTCACTGAACGTCAAGGCCTCAAAGATTAATCAGACATCGGAGATGAAATCAGAAGCTAGGGATGCTTATGATGCAAACCATGGTTCTTAACTCTGCTAATGTTCTCAGTGGAATGACAATGTAAGACTAGTCAGTCCAGGGGGGACACCTTTCATTCTCACAGGACATTACTACTAATAACTATGAACTAGTTTTGGTCAATCCTATCTTCACACCAGCTCCACCATCTAGAGGATTCTCTGACACCGGAGACTGTATTGACTTTTACCATTTTCTACACATCTGGTGTGTACCCTGGGAATTACCCCAGCAGATTGCCAGGAGAGGGACAAGGGCAGGTACAGCACCTCTTCCTCCCTCCTCCCAGGTAGAATTTTTTTTTTCACCTCTATGCCTTCTGCTGCTCCAGCCAGAAGACCTGAGAGGCCTTCCTCTACTTTGGGAGGGCCTTTTAAGAACAAAGCCTTTGTACCTTCTCCAGAACACATCCAGCAACATCACCCTTGGGTTGTTCATTTCAAATGAGAAAAAAAAAGTACATGCCCTCAGATGTGAAGGTTTCTTAGGTCACATGCCTCAGGCTAGGAGACCAGTGTAGGGATAAAGAGCCTGGCTAGGTGCAGTCAAGACATTAGTCCTATGTAAATGATGGCCCCTGCTTCTAGATTCTCCTAAACTCTTATTCCACCCAAGCCCTTCCCCATCCTGGCCCTCTGGGCAGGCTCTGTTCCCCTGCTTCTCACCAGCCTGGAGGAAGAGCAGAGCCCCACTTTGTTTTTCCTGGTACCTTGTGCTAAGGCAAGAGTTAAACTGGACTCTGTGGGGGCTGGTCCTCCAGATCTTCCCCTGGTGGAGGAAAAACTGTGCAGCCAGACCTTGTCCCAACCTAGCAGGCATTTGCTCAGGGAGCTGGGATGCTTCTGAAAAGAGCCAGAGCCATCTATGTCCAGGAGAGTGATCAGTGGGACATGAACCCCCTCTCTAAATTTTCTAGCCTGTAGGCTGTGGTCTTCTCGGGGGTTCTGGGACAAAGGTCTCTGGAGAGTCAGACCCATGAGTGAGGAGGGGAGACTAGGGCTTGCTCTGGAAGTGACTTGCCTGAGGTTTCCTTCTGACTCTCCACTCTCCTCTCTGGACCCGGGTTGGTTCCCCACCCTTCCCCCCCAACCCTTGTCTTCCTTGGACAGTGAGCCAGACAGACTGCTTTGTGAGCCTCTGGCTGCCCACCGCTTCTCGTGAGAAGCTGAAGACTAGGACCATCTCCAACTGCCCAAACCCAGAGTGGAATGAAACCTTCAGCTTCCAGATCCAGAGCCAAGTGAAGGTGAGACTCAGAGGACACCATGTGTCTGTCAGCCCTGCCTACATTTCTATTCTCCTCCATGCCTGCTTGTCCTTCTGTTTGCTTTTGTGTCCTTCTTATGTCTATTTGTCTTTCTTCCCACCCACTTCTTCTCCTCCTAGTGACCCATCTTCCCACTCACCCACTTCTTCATTAGGCCTGCCTCATATTTGTCCCTCTGAGTCTACTTATCCTTCTACCTTCTTTCCTTCCTCTCTTGCCCTTCTACCTAATTGTTGCTGGAATTTGTGGTTCCTGCCACAAAACTGAGCGTGTTTCAGAACATGCTCCAAGTAGGAAAATACATGGAGGGGAAGGGCCATTCTATTCACTAGGTCCAAGGCCAGTCTAATTCCAGCCAGAGGGTTTTCCTTATCTTAACTCCTTTTTAGAAGGCTTTATTATTTCTAATTCCTGGAGTGTCTGTTCTTTCATTTATTGGGCTTTTGTTTCATTGTGTTGGCCTTCTTCAGGTATATGGCAACTCTCCTATGGGAGAGTTCTCCCTTGAGCATACTGAGCTGTGACCAACTCAGCAGAGTGCCCTTTTTTATTTTTATTATTATTATTTTTTTTGCCTAATGTGGGGCTGAAACTCATGACCATGAGATCAAGACCTGGGCCAAGATCAAGAGTCGGACCCTTAACTGACTGAGCCAACCCCGGTACCCCCTCAGCAGAGTGCTCTTAAAACAAACTTGGCCTCATCATGGAGGTATCAACCCCAGTCTTGGGGCATTTGAGGCTTGATATCTCCAGCTTTCTGCTTCCATATTTTAGGGTGATTCTTTATTTCTGGTTCATGATAAGTCTTTTTTGTTTTCAAGAAGGGCTTTAGGGCCACCTGGGTGGTTCAGTCAGTTAAGCCTCTGACTCTTGATAATGGCTCAGGTCATGATCTTGGGGTCTGCTTGGGATTTTCTTTTCCTCTCTTTCTGCCCCTGCCCACCACCCCCCCACAAAGATAAATGAATAAGTCTTTTTTAAAGAAGGGCTTTATATTTGTTACTATAGAAATATCTCTTCTATCATATTTATGGTTTTGGCGAGGAAGGAGGATTTTGGCATGGGCTTTGCCATCTTGAAATCAGAATTTCGACTTCCTTTGTCTAAAGACCTATGGGGCTGCTCATATGAATCTATGGGGTTGGTTCTGGGGCATGTCTGTGTTTCTAGTAATTACAAGGTCAACAGATCTCGTTCAATAAGGAACCCTCAGACCACTTTATGTCCACCTGATAAGGACCAAAGAGGCAAACCCAGCCCCAACCCTCATCTCCCAGGGTCCTTGAAACAAGAGACCTCAGAGGCTAATCCATGTTACCCAAAACCATTGACCTCAGTGTTCAGCCAGATGTCAGGGTAGCTGCTCAACTCTTGACATGCAGCTTTGAGACCACCCATAAGACCTCTTTAGGGGCTGATGAATCAAAGGATAGAGTTCAAACACCTCACCCCAAGCCCATCAAGTATGAGAATCCCTGTAATCTGCCACATCACCTTCCAGGAGTGTTAAGGTGTTAGCTTCCCTGAATTGTTGGTTGTTGTTTTTTTTAATTGGGTTTTCTAGCATTTAATGGGCTGTCTTCAGCTCCAGGGGCCCCAGTGTGGAACACAGTCTATGAGTTGGCAAGGATCTTGCTTGTTCTGCCCTCCTATCATTCCCCCAGGTGAAATGATATCCCTTACACTTCACAGGCCCTTGCCAACCTTGCAAAAGAGCAAAATTCTCCAGGAGACTCAGAGCAGAGGGTCAGGAAGTCTTCAGAGAATTAGAAAGGAGGATTTAGATACCATCACCCCTGAGTTCATTATTCTACAAATGTCTCTCATACCTGAGCAGGGACCTCTGTGCTGTTCCCCATTCCTCAGACCCACCTCCTTCCTAGGAAAATGGGCCCATGCAAACACGTTAACCAGACTTGCACCCTCCTTTCTCCCCTAGAACGTGCTAGAGCTGAGCATCTGTGATGAAGATACACTGACACCAGATGACCATCTCTTGACAATCCTCTATGACCTCACCAAACTCTGCTTCCGAAAGAAAACCCATGTGAAGTTCCCACTCAACCCGGAGGTGGGTGCTGGTGTCCAGGCCCGCGGCCTCCTGCCCCATGGGAGCAGCTGCTTATGTTCATGATGCCACCCTACGGTTTCTCTCTGTGTCACCGAGTCAGGAAACAACAGTACTGCTGGCTCAGTCCCAGTGCCATGCTTACCAGCTGTGTAACCTTGCAGAATGTATTCGATTCCTCTGCGTTCTGTTTCCTCATCTGTCCAATGGCAACGATGATACGTACCTCACAGGGCTGTTGTGGTGCTGAAATGGGAAAACATAATTAAGGCCCTTAGCACCGCTCACGGTACAAAATGGAGATGAAGTACGTGTTGGTTCCCTTTTTTCCCCTCAGAGTCCTGCTGCTGAGATAGCCCAGGGGACGGAAGGCAGATGAGGGTAAAAAAGGGCAAATCTGCCCATCAGAGAACGTCAGAGCTAGAAAAGACCAAGGTGTTATCAATTCAATCATTCAACAAATCCTTGATTTCCTACTATGGGCCAGACACTGTTCCAGGCCCTGGGGACACGGCAGGGGACGAGTATCCCTGCTCTTGGCTGGCTTACATTCTGACAAGGAAATTAAGATCCAGTGAAGTCACAACTTCCTGAAGTTACACAACGAGAGGTGTGAAGGAATAGATGAGGGAAGGGGCCCCTATCCTTCAGAGTTGAGCTGGCTGGGGACGATATCTCAACTCTCCCTTGCCCTGGGTACTGAGCCCCTTGGGAAGGCAGGCGAGCAATGGGAGGCTGGGGGTAGAAGCTAAAGGGACATGTCTGGGGGGCAGACAGGGGCAGCCCCAGGTCACAGCTGCCTTCCCTTTACCCCCTTGCCAGGGCATGGAAGAGCTGGAGGTAGAGTTCCTGCTGGAGGAGAGGTGAGTAGGCCCAGCCCCCTAGGACCCCGCCATGGTCCTGACTCCCAAGTGGCTCCGAGCAGGCATTTCAGAGCCTGGTCTGCCTTTTTGCTGCCCTCGCCTCTCCCACTCTCACTCCTGGCACCCCACACTGCACCTCAGAGTCACTTGGGAGCTTCTAAATACTGTAGGTGCCTGGGCCCCAGCCCTACTCATCTTGTTCTACTGACATCAGTTTTGCTTCAGAGATCTAGAACTCTGGCCAAATTGCCTGCCTCAGCTCCCTTGAATTCCTGAGAGTGGCCTCTGGGAAGAATTCCTGCCACATGGTGATGGGGCCTTGGAGAGGCCAGGCTGAGAAAGAGGTCAGGACCAGGGGGTTTCCTCCTTGGCCCTGAACTGTTCAAACAAACTGCCCCAGGGGCACCTGGCTGACTCAGTTGGTTACTTGTCTGCCTTTGGCTCAGTTCATGATCTTGGAGTCCTGGGTTCAAGCCCCACGAGCCCTGAGTCTGGCTTCCTGCTCAGCAGGGAGTCTGCTCCTCCCTCTCCCTCAGCCCCTCCCCCTTGCTCATGTGTGCTCTCTCTCTCTCGCTCTCTCTCTCAAATAAATAAATAAAATCTTAAAAAAAAAAAAAAACTTCCCCCAAACTCTGGCCTGAAGCAGCCTGTCCCCCTCTGCAGCCAACTCTAGAACCACATCAAGGAGATGCTCAGGTCCAACACGTGGGGTTATTTCTCATCATTTTCAACTAGGAAAATGACCCAGGGTCCTGGAGATATGAGTATGCTGGGCACTAAAGTAGAACTGGGCCCCAGAGCTGGAGGATAGGAAGGAGAAGAGGACAAAGAGAGAAGGGGAGAGAAGGGAGAAGCCTGCTCAGGATACTAGTGTGCCTTGTGATTGGGCAGCCGACTCCTCTCCTGGTAGCCCTGATAGGGCTGAGCCCCTGGACTTAGGATCAGCCCGGGAAAATGCAGAGGGTGAGAGGCAGGAGTTAGAACAAGAGCTTGTCAAACTCCACTCTGAGAGAGTCCTCTACCTAGGGGCACTTGGAATTCTTTGGGCTGCCTCATTTACCCACAACAGCTGCTTAACAAATTAAAATCAACTTTGTCTCCCATTGAAGAACATCTGGGCTCTCTCCTCCAATTCTTGACTCAGTAAGACTTGGGGAAAAAGTCCTTGTAGCTTGCAAAATGAAACATGTCAAAATTGGTAGTAAGAGTTGATCTGGAGGCACAATCATCTTGGGCCTAATTTTGGCAAGGGAAGCTGTAGACTCCCATAGGCTAATTGTAACCTTGGAGACTTATATTCTTGACTTTATAACATGAAGACATTTCATATGCACCAGGCCCCTCTCCGGCTGGGTCAGAACTGTTTGTTTAATGCATGAATTAAATAAAGCCCAGAAAGGAGAATGGGTCATTTCTGCTACCAGAACTCTTTACATCTGCTGCAGGTGGCAGGCTCGGGCCTTTTCCTGCTACCTGTTTATCCTCATAGTTCCTTACAGTTGTGCATAAAGCACAACTTATGCATCTAGTTGAGCATAAGAATAGTTAACCCTTGGGTGCCTGGGTGGCTCAGTTGGTTAAGCGACTGCCTTCAGCTCAGGTCATGATCCCAGGGTCCTGGGATCGAGTCCCACATCAGGCTTCCCCTGCTCTGCGGGGAGCCTGCTTCTCCCTCTGCCTCTGCCTGCCACTCCCCTGCTTGTGCTCTCTCTCTCTCTGTCAAATAAATAAATAAAATCTTTAAAAAAAAAAAAAAGAATAGTTAACCCTTTAAAAGGTGGGGAGGGGCACCTAGGTGGCTCAGTTGGTTAAGCGACTGCCTTCGGCTCATGTCATGATCCCAGGGTTCTGGGTTCAAGTCCCACGTCAGGCTCTCTGCTCAGCGGGAACCTGCTTCTCCCTCTCCCTGCCACTCCCCCTGTTTGTACTCTCTCTCTCTCTATCAAATAAATAAATAAAATCTTTAAAAAGAAAAATAAAAAAGGAACTCTTCTCTTCTTTCCAACCTATACATTTATTTTTTTCCTATTCTATTTAAAATGTATGCCACTTTTCTCCTTGACAATCCACAGATCTAAGGTTGCTTTTTTTTTTTAATATTGTATTTATTCACTTGAGAGAGAGAGAACGAGTGAGCTGTGGGGTGGGGCAGAGGGAGAGGGAGAAGCAGACTCCCTGCCAAGCAGGAAGCCCTCATGCGGGGCTTGATCCCAGGACACTGAGATCATGGCCTGAGCCAAAGGCAGATAGATGCTTAACCACCTGAGCCACCCAGGCGCCCTGTGATCTAAGATTTCTTAAGCTGCTATTTTTGATAAGGATCAAGGAGGCTCTGCTATCTCATTATTGACCCTATCCAGGTTCTTTAACACCTCTTGAGAAATCAAGCAAGAATGATATAACTGACCAGGAGTTCTCACTTTGTTTTCCAGTCCCTCTCCACCCGAGATGCTCATCACCAATGGCGTGCTCGTGGTAATTTGTCCTTCCAGGTTCCTGTAGCTCCAGAGGCCACCCGCGGCTGCCGCTCCCAGGGGAACAGAACTGTGGGGAGAATACGGCCCACCTAAGCCCTTGTCCTAGAGCCTGCCAGGAGTCAGACTAACTAAAGCAGGCCAACGGGGCTTGGGCAGGTGGGGCAGGGGCCAGGCCCCTGCTGGGGAGGTGGGAGCTCGGGCATCCATCCCCTGGCCCAGCATCCCATATCCCACAAGGGTGAACCCTCTCCTTGGGAACCTCCCCAATAAAAGCACCTACTTGCAAGCAGCCTCCTCCCATATTCAGCCTCTGTCCCCTTCCCCCCCAGCTCCAATTCCTCTACAAGCATAAGCTCGGTGTTTTAAAAGATTTTCATAATTCCGCTGTTGGTACAGACACTTCAGCATCTAAAGCCTCAGGATTCGAGATCTCTCCCCCAGAAATCAGTCTTTAGGAGGTTGTGGTAAAAGAATCTGACTTTTAGAAGACTATCTTGCTGGAAGTTCTCACTTCCAAAGCTCACAGTGGAAAGCTCCCTCTTTTTATTTTGGACCAAATCGTGCAGCTTCCATCCCTGACCTGTAGCTGAGAACATGACCCCTAGTAAATGGTGACCATATAGCCTAGATTTTTCAGGACTGCTTCATTTTCAAGTACTCCATCTCTTAATGAGATGACAAGTCTTGACTGGGTGGTCAGCACACCGTTGTTCCCTGGAGTCAGCCCCAAATCCGACTAGCGCTGAATTTATCCCCTGGTTCATCTCCTCCATTTGGCCTGGCAGAGGGAGGGGGCAGATGGTGCTCAGACTGACCCTCCCTTCCTTTGTTTCAGTCTCGGCAAGTCTCCCGCCTGGAGGTTCATGCAGAATGCCAGAGGCGGAAGAAGAGCAGGAAAAGTGAGTCCTTTGACCTCTTCTGCTGCTGGGAGGACAGGCGTGGTGGTCAGTGTTTCTTCCCACAGCTGCCCTGGGCTCAGTCCCGGCTGAGCTTGGCCGGGGCTCCTCAGGATCACCTCACCCTCAGAGGCCATGAACCCCTGGCCTCCCCCCTGCTCTGTAGGGACATGCACTTCCAGGCACCCATGGGACCCTCAGAAGCTTTCAGGCCTGATGAGCGCCCTGGGCCGGGGTCAGTGACACAGCACGGCCCGCTCTGCCCACACGGGTCGGGGCTGCACCCCTGGTCTGGCACACTGGTCAGCCCCAGGACAGGTGGGCACTGACAGCACCCACGGCCCCTCCAGCTGTGCCCCTTCCTCGTGGAAGGTCCCAGCATCTTATGGCTGGCCGGGACCTAAGAGACCCACAGTTACAAGAAGCTTCTGTTCACTGCCCCGTCCCATCTCAGGAGAGCAGCATGGCTGTGCAGACATGGGAGAGGGAGGGGGAAGAAGCCGCACCCCCAAACTGGTCGTATGGTGAGGGCCTGTTTTCAGTGCAGGGCACCTCCTGGAGAAGCAGAATCTAGGAGGACCTGTCCAGAGGACTCAGCATCTCAGGGCTTGCTGGGGACCTCGTCTGTCCGCATCATACACAGCCTCATTAAATGCAGATTCCTGGGCCCTGCCCGGACCTACATGTTAACCAGTGCCCTAGATGCTTCTAAATCCCTGTCCCAGGTTCTGCCAGCTCATCAGCTTTCTCCTGGCCCAAGTTGTGGCAGAGAAGTGAGAGGCTTCTAGGGGCCCAGGTTTCTTGTCCCCTCTTTCAGTGAAGGACCTCCTGGTGACAGTGAAGGAGTCCTTCGAGCACACCCAACACGTTTCATGCTGCCTGGAGCCCTGCTGCGCAAACCCAGCCTGCTTCCACTACCCCGAGTACTTCCAGCCCTGCCTGCACGTGGACGTGCCCAAGAGCCCGTGGGGCCACAGGGTACGAGACAGTGGCGGTGGGGGCTGGGGGGGACCCGTGCAGGCGGGGCTGCCAGAGGAGCCCCTCACCCCCTCACAGAACCCTCCCATCCTTCCAGCTTTGCTGTTGCTGTGCACAGAGGAAGACCAGCCCTGTCCGCCAGCCCCTTGACTGCCTCCCCGATGGCCAGACGGTGACCCTGCCCGTGGTAAGGGGCCCCTGAGTAGCAGCGCGGCCCGAAGCTCCTGTGGGAGGGGAGGGGGAGAGCAGGAGGGGAGGAGATGCAGTGGGGGGGTCTCTCAGGCAGGACAGAGGAGTGTTGTGGGGGAGGAGACTGCAGGCTGCACTGTGGAGCCAAAGAGGGTGTGTAGAGGCTGAGCTGAGGATCATAGAGGGAATCCAGGAGAGGGAAGGAGGGTAGCGTGTGTGCGTGTGCATATGCATGTGCACATGTGTGTGCTGAGTCAAGTCAGGGTGGACCATGTGGCGAGACGCCGCTCCTTCGCTTGGGACCACTTGGCTCTAAACTGTCATCCCTGAAAGGCTGTTCATCTTTCCCTTCCCAGGGTGAGAACTGTGAATTACATATGAAGTCTACACCCTGGTAAAGTACCCTCCTTCTGTCTGTCCCTCTGATTTACTCAACCTAGGGAGTGAAATGTGGTTTTGATTTCTATTTCCCTGATGGCTGATGATGTTGAGCATCTTTTCATGGGCTTACTGACCATTTTTATATCTTTTTGGAGAAATGTCTATTCAAATCCTTTGTCCATTTTTAAAGTGGGTTACTTGTTTCTTATTGCTAAGTTGTAGGAGTTCTTTTTATACTCTGAATACAAGTCCCTTGTCAGATATATGATCTGCAAATATTTTCTCTTAGTCTGGAGGTTCTCTTTTTATATTCTTGGCAATGTCCTTGGAAGCAAAGGCATTTTGAAATTTGGTGAAGTCTGGTGCATGCGTATTTTTTCTTTTGTCACCTATATTTTTGGTGTCATATTTCAGAAACTATTGCCTAATCCAAGGTCATGAAGATTTACTCCCCTGTTTTCTTCTAAGAGTTTTTATGGTCTTAGCTCTCACATTTAGGTCTGTGACAGATTTTGAGTTAATTTGTATATACAGTGTGAAATAGGGATCCAGCTTCATTCTTTTGCATGTGGATATCGGGTTGTCCCAACACCACTTGTGGAAAAGACTATTCTTTTCCCTCTGAATTGTCTTGGCATCCTTGCTGAAAATCAGTGATCTGACAAGAGGAACACTCAGCAACTATCAACCAGTGTTGTTATTACTGTTGTTTTATTATTTATTTTTTGTTGAGGCCAAGGAAAGAGTTATTTCCTCACAGTTGTGTCTTAGGCCTGTGCTCAGCATGGAGGAAACATGATGGCAGAGCTCCCAGGCTCTGCTTTCAAGGACATGTGATCTGGTTGGTGACTCAGGCCACTAAGTAAGACTCAGGTCAGAAATTGTCAATGCCCATTCACCCAGAGTCCCTGGAAAACTGAGCCTGGGAGGACACCAGGGATGTGAGTAGGCAGAGGGAGGAAGCTTCTGGTGAAGGCAAGGGCTGCACAAAGGCTCAGAACCGGGACTGTTTCCAGAATCTGAAAGCCTATGGGCCCCTCCAAGAAGTAGCAAATGGTGAGGTTGCACAGAGCAGCTAGGGTCTTGACTGCCAGGCCAGGAGCCTGGACTTGTCCAGGGCAGGGATGTGGTAAAAAGAAGGCAAGTGTTGGACATGCTATGGCAGCTCCGCCCCACCTGCCTTGCGGACCTGTACGGATGAGAGGGTGACATCAGGAATATGAAGGGGTTTTGTCAGTTGCACAAACACACAGGAGTATTTACTCCAGGAGCAGGGAGAACTTACCAAAGAATGTGAATGCCACAGGAAAGCCCCTTACTGTAAAGCCTGGTCCAGAGGGATTCGCCAAAATGATCCCAGGGCTCCTTGTCACCCATGTCTAGCCTCAGGTTGTAGAAGATACCTGGGGCAGCCTTCCTGGACTTCCCAGATCAGGCTGAGGATGCGGAGGGTTTGATGAGTTCCCCGATTTTGTCGAGGACCTGCTCAGAGTGTGTCAGCTGAGGCTTTAGGGGCTTTCTGTTTGTCAGTCTCATTAAGTGCTGAAGACAGTGCTGGGAGGTAAGCACGATTAGCCCCATTTTACAGATGAGAAACAGAGACCCCAAGTCACAGAAATGGTATATGGCAGAACCAGTCTTCAAGCCTATGACCCACTGACCCTAAAGTCATGTCTTCATTGTGGTGAAGTCTACAGGCTCGCTTATCAAGGTCCTCTGTCCCCGTAGCCCTCCGACGCTGGATGTGCGGCTGGGCTTCAGCCTGTGCCCCGCCGAGCAGGAGTTCCTGCAGAAGCGGAAGGTGGTGGCGGCAAAGGCCCTGCAACAGGTGTTGCAGCTGGAGGAGGACCTGTCTGCGGACGAGGTGGGTAAGCAGAGGCCTGCCGGCCGGGGCTTCATCCCACTCTGAGCCAAGCTTGTCCTGCCCACAACGCACCCTGCCAGCCGCCCCCAAGCCCTTCTCTGCCCCAGGGTGGCCTCGCCACTGCCTTTCCTGGGTGCCCATCTGAGGGCTGTGCTGGATGTGATTCAGTTGTGTGTTTGCAAGGGGAAGGGCGGGGAGGGCAAAGTAGAGAGAGCAAGGAAGGGGCCTCGGCTGCTCCTCCCCATGCACCAACAGGTCCGGAGGTGACTAATGAAGTCTTACTTACACAGAGACACAACGGCCTCTTCTCCCCAGCCAGGAAAACATCTGAAGCTCTACCACCTCCACTCAAAAGGCCCTGGGCTCTTTGTTCTGCAATTCTCTCTTCTCCCCAAATAGCACACATACATAACCCCCCCAGAAAAAAACAGCAGCTGGAAACTACAGAGAAGCAGCTTCCCTTGCAGGGCCAGCTTCTTCCCACGGGGCAGAAGGTGTGCCTTTGTTAGAGCCCTTTGTCACCTCCCTGCTAGGGACTGAGGTCCACACCTCCCAGGCAGCAGGTCACCCTCCAAGTGCAAGAGGATGGAGACCTGGTGCCCAAGGAGGGCTCTGATGGGGCTTTAGCAGACAGAAGGATCTTACCGTCCCTGCTCAAATAAAGAGAGTACATCTTGGCAAGGATCGCCCTCCCCACTTTCCCATCTTTAGGGGAAAACACCAAGGGCATCTTCGACCTATGTAAATCTAGAGGTGACAACCCTGCTCCTTCCCACATCAAGTAGGAGCAGTGATTCCTGTTGTTGTACATACAATATATACCGAGCACCTCTCATGTGCCAGGTCTGGGCCTGGTGCCCTAATATCATATCCTTGCACAGAAGGAACCAGTAGGGAATCTCACACTAGCTGGATTCTCGAGCAAGTCCCTCGGCCTGCTGGACCCCAGCGTCATCATCTGTTAACTGAGGGCTAGACTAACAGTGCAAAGAATTCTTCCAGCCACAACGTTCTGATTGAGCAAGCTGTGTGAAGCTTCGGAGCTGCTTACCCTCACCAACTATTGGGTTTGGAGCGAAGATCTAATTCTAGACCTACCAGGTGGCCCATCACTCTATGAAAGGCAGTTTTCAGGTCACTCAGTGCCTCGCTCTCTGCTGTCTGTAGCCAGTTCTCCCTCCTCCACTATTCTTTCTAAGCTTCCGTCTGTCAGTCTGTGTCTTCTCCTACCCCGCACCGCCCCAATAGTCTGCCTCTGTATGCTCCCAGGTACCACTGATAGCCATCATGGCCACCGGGGGTGGAACAAGATCCATGACTGCCATGTATGGCCACCTGCTGGGGCTGCAGAAGCTGAACATCCTGAACTGTACCAGCTACATCACTGGCCTGTCTGGGGCCACCTGGTAAGGACCTGGCTGCCACTGCCCTGTGGAGCCCAGAGCAAGCACTAAACAGGCTAGCTGGGGGTCTCTGGTGAAGCTCTCCCCACCCCCAGGTAGGGTGACTCACAAAACCTGGGCAGCTCTACCCCTTATAGCTGTGTGACCTTGGGCAGCAGCTTCACTTCTCTGAGTCTCAGTTTCTGAATCTGTAAAATGGGTCTAACAGTAGCACTGACCCCATGGGGTCGTTGTGTGAGGCTCTCCCAGTACTGGGTGTTCTGGGGCTGCAGCAGGGACCCAGAAACACAGTGGCTAGGACGCATGAACCACTCCCGCCACTGACCCATCCTGCCGGGAAGATGCAGGTGCCCTCTCCAAGCGTGCCAGCTCTCCGAGGCCGCGCGGAGCCGGCCCAGCCTCTCTGGCTGTCCCCACCCCAGCGCACCCCCATCCTTGCCTTGCCCCTCTCTCTGCCCTGGGGGTTCCCTCACTCTCTGCTGGTGAGCAAGGACTGCGAGCCAACCCCCCCCCCCACAACATGAGGCCAGTGTGAGGTCGACTTCTCCACAGGAGCCACCGTGCCTAGGGCCCACACTGCTTGTAGAAGCCCAGAAAAATGTTTTACCTTCTTTTAAGATCAGGAGAAAAAAAAAAAGAACTTCTCGCCTGAGGACAAATATAACATTATTATATTTGTTTTTATACAACAATCATAAAACATAATTTTTAATATTTTTATGGTGGAAGAGACCCACCGAGGTCATAACACAGCCCTGGCAGGGGACCCTTGACCACGAGGGGCTGCATCTTCTTCTGTCAGGGACTGGGGCCTCTGAGCCCCCGAGGTCCCAAGCTGGCCCCTCATCCAGGAGGAGCTCTAGGTAACTTTCATCTGAGCAGTGGATGTGAACTTTCCCTAGAAAGGCCAAGGCTGCTGGTGCATCAGGAACTCCGAGGCTTCAGCCCAGATGGGACAGAAGGACAGCTGACGTTTATTGGCATGGCCCATGGGTGGTACACTAAGGAGATAAAACCTGCTTCCATCAGGGCCAAGGGGTGCCTGCATCCTTCTGAGCAGGAGACTGGGAGGAACTTAGGGGGAAGTGGGGGGAAGGGAAGGGTCTCCTGGCCTGGGAAAGCACTGGGAAGTATCCTTTTAAAATCAATCATTTCTAATGGTTTTGAAAGCTCTTTAAACATATAAAAATAAGAGTGAATCTTATGGAGAGCAGCGTGCTTTTTGTCCACGAAATCTCTTGACCAACCCCCACCTTCCCAGACCAGGACAAGCCCTATGAAGGAAGAGGCCACTGTTCAGACAACAGTGACGCTGCAGACAAGGTCACCTAGGGCACAGGGTTTCAGGGTGCTGTCCTGACCTCTACCGAAAGGCTGGGTCCAGGCCAAGAAGAGACCCAGGGCTAGAGGGGTCTCCGTCTTTGTTTTACTCCTTCCCACTGCCCCCATATAAGTTCAGCAGAAGCAGGGGAAATAAATCTTTAGCCAGCATCATAATTATGGGAATGAATGTGGCAGAGTGGAACGAGTCCAGGATCTAGAATCAGCCAAGCCTGGGTTCCAATGTTGGCCTCACGGCCCCACGACCCAGCACACACTTTGTGCTGGCCACTGTTCGAACCACTTTAAATTGCATTAACTCGTGTAATCTTCACAATAACTCTTTGAGGTAGGTACAGTAATAATTCTCTCCATTCCCACAGATGGGGAAACTGATGTGAAGAGCAGTTAGATAACTTGCCCAAGATTAGACAGCTAGTGAGTGGTAGAGTCTGGTTTTGAACCCAGGAAGATCTGGGTCCAGAATCCTCACTCTTTTTTCTTTTTCTTTTTTTAGAGTTTATTTATTTGAGAGAGAGAGAGAACACGAGCGGGGGGAGGGGCAGAGAGAGAGGGGGAATCATACTCCCTGCTAAGCAGGGAGCCCGATGCAGGGCTTGATCCCAGGATCCCGGGATCATGACCTGAGCCGAAGGCAGACGCTTAACCGACTGCACCACCCAGGCGTCCCCAGAATCCTCACTCTCAAGCAACATGCTATACCTGGCACAGGGTGGCCATTGTGACTATGAATAATAATGTTCACCCCTTTCCTCCAGGCTCCTTTCCTGGTGAGTTAGGGTCTCCCACGATCTGTCCATCTTCTCTCTGGCCAGGGTCCAGTGTTGATCGGACCTGGACTGGCTCAGTTCTATCTCCATGTGTGTGTCTCTCTCTCCAGGACCATGGCTACCTTGTACCGTGACCCTAACTGGTCCTCCAAAAACCTAGAGCCTGCCATATTTGAGGCACGGAGGCACGTGGTCAAAGACAAGATGCCTGCCCTGTTCCCAGACCAGCTCTCCAAATTCCAGGAGGAGCTTCGGCAGCGCAGTCAGGAAGGCTACAAGGTCACCTTTACAGATTTCTGGGGCCTGCTGATTGAGGCCTGTCTGGGGGATGAGGTAGGTACTCAGCTTCTTCCGAGGTCCAACCTGCCCTGGCTGATGACCAGCTCTCTTTCTTCATGGCTGGGAAGAAGGGGGGTGCGGTTCTGGACTTACTTCTCATGAGAAGGAAGTTAGCTTAGACCTGCAGATTCATCTGTGGACAGTAGGAAGCATGAGGTGCCTGAGTGCATGATGGAGAAAGATGGTGGAATTGTCTTCCCACATGCCTTTCGTGTATGACTGAGACCCTTGTGGTGGGGATGGCTTAGGAGCAGTCCTGCCGAGTGGCAGCATGTCCTCTGAGAGCCATGCCAAGACACCAGGAGAGAACACAGGGAGGGAGCTGGGGGAGGCTGGAGAGGCATCAGACTGTGATACAAGTCTGACCCCAAGTGGAGGAGAGAGGGAAGAAGGGCTGGGTGGAAGCATCCTAGACGGCTGGTCTGGAAGGTTCAGCAAGGCCCTTGGAGAATCCTCTAAACAAGCTGTCTGTCAGAGGAGTTTGGTGCCTGCCATGGGCATAAATGGGCCTGCCTCAGGATCCCTGCCGCTCTCAGTCATGTGCTGGTCTAAATGCAGGTCATCCCTAAAATGAAGGATGACCTGAACCTCATCTTCAAAGTGCATTCATTCCTTCATTTTTTTTTTCATTCAAAAAAATTAAGTACCTCCTGCACGTCATACACTGTGCTAGGCAATGGCGATTGAGAACTGAGGCACTCACAGCTTTTGATGGAGCCACCACCCTCCCCCTCTTGATACCCCACCATTTAATCTGTGCTTATGATGAAGCAGGGCAGGCAGAGACTGAGGGCGTTGGCCTTTGGATTCAGGCAGGATAGGATTTAAATCTGGGTCCTGCTTTGTGCTATTCCTTAAATGGGAACTACATCAATGAGTGGTAGTTAATATTTCTAGCAATACTTAGTGCTCCGTGTGATGAGAGGAAAGCACCCAGGCTTTTGACAACAGACATCTGAGTGTTGCCTGGGGTTTGGTATGAGGAGGAGCCAAGGTTCCCAGGGAGCAAGTGTAGGATTGAAATTAGGAGGTCTCTGCTGTTCCACTCTGGCCAGGGCAGGAGCCTCTTTCCCTTGGGCCCCCTTGACAGTGAGTATGGACTGGGTTCTTCCCTGAGTCTATAGTTTTCTCTCTACTTCCAGGACTCAGCTCTGCAGTGCCCAGATCCCTGGGCCATTATGTTAGGCACCCTGCTTGCCTTTCAAGGGAAGCCTAAGAGTTGTCTGTCCCACAAGTGTGTTTAGCAGGCCCACACAAGGTCAGGGCCTTCACACACTTGAAGAACCAGGGATGGGCAGCCAGCAGGCAGCTGCTCAGAGCCTGGGGTCAGAGCGTGGGCCTCTAACCCCCCAACTGGCCTGGCTATACTGGCTGATTCATTTCGGGAGGTGGCTTGTGGCCCTGGCTGGTCTGCAGGCTCCCCTCTGATTTGGCAGCACCATGCTCTGGGGACTCAGAGGGACCTTGGCTGACAGCTGGTGCACCATTTCCAAGCCTTTTGTTTAAATTTTCTTACAAGCAGCTTTTTCCCCCTCCCAAACAAATTTTATGAGGGAGTCTAACATGCAAAGCAGATAAGAAAAATGGACCTGCTCCAGGGTACATCAGGTGGAAGATGATGGGGATGAAGAGGGACAGTGGTGGCCTTTTCCACCCCTACCTTCTCTTTCCCTGGTCCTTGAGACGCAAGGAGAATCCTGGGACTCTGAGGGACAGCCCTAAGCTGTAGATTCAGTCCCACTCCCGTCCATACGTCTCGGATGGTGACTAGCCCAGGGACGAGCGACATTGTATGGGTACATTGACTGGTGTCAGCTGGGACCTGCAGAGCTGCCGGGTGGGCTCAGGAATCGGGAAAAGGCCTGCTGCAGGTCCAGACCGTCCCCCTTATTCTGCACTGTCTCCAGACTGCCTCTGCTCCTTCACCATTTCATTTCCCCACAGAGAGATGAATCCAAACTGTCAGATCAGCGTGCTGCTCTGTGTGAGGGCCAGAACCCCCTGCCCATCTACCTCACCATCAATGTCAAGGATGATGTAAGCAACCAGGATTTCAGAGGTAACACTGGTGGCTAGAAATTTATAAGGGTGTCCCTTCTCGGCAGGCAAAGGTACCCAGCGCCCCAGCACACGCACAACCCACCACATACCTTTGCCTCCCTCCGTCTCGACTTTGCTACCCCTTCTGTGTGGCTAGATCAGGCTGGTGGGGGCTTGTGGCTTTTCTAGGAGCAGACGTTTGATGGGACAGGGTAATAAAGTTATGAAGGGAAAGGGTTCTAGGAGGGCAAAGGGTCCCCCTCTGAATTAGAGGAGTGACAGAATGAGGGACCCTAGAAACCTGCCCTGCTTCGAGGTCGGTTGTGGTCTCTGTTTACCCAGTTTGGTGGAGCAAATGAACCATGCAGGTGGCAAAGCTGGTTTGCCTGGCCAACAGAAACCAGTCGTGGGCGCCCCCTTGTGCCCTGTGGGGGGACTGCGGCCTCCCTGTCACAGGTCCCCCAAGGCCCGGGACCTGTAGGAGCCCTGAGGAGGGAGGGTTGGACTGTCCAGGCTGGAGACTGACACCCCACCCTGCTGCTTCCTGGGCAGAGTGGTGTGAGTTCTCCCCCTACGAGGTGGGCCTGCAGAAGTACGGGGCCTTCATCCCCACCGAGCTCTTCGGCTCCGAGTTCTTCATGGGGCGGCTGATGAAGAGGATCCCAGAGTCACGGATATGCTACATGCTAGGTGACTCCTGACCCAGGGAGGCCCATGGGCACCCCGCCCCATGCTGGGCAGGCCCCCCTTTGAATTAGAGGCGTGACAGGGAGGCCTGCTCCGTTCCCCCAGGATCTTGTCCTGGGTGCTGGTGCTGGTTTGGGTTATCCCTGGAGCATGCAACCCTCCTGCATTTGCCAGCATGCCCTCATCTGTCATGGGGGTCCCGCTGCCCTGTGGGGGGAGGGGAATCAAAGTCTGTCTCACCCCCTGAGCAGCCCGACTGGGAGGGAACATCAAGGCCAAGGTAGAAGCAGTCAATGTTTGGGTGGCTGGGGCCTCTGGGGCAGAGGTGCTCACAGCTGGCCCTGCCCCCTAGGCTTGTGGAGCAGCATCTTCTCCCTAAACTTGCTTGATGCCTGGAATCTGTCCCAAAGCTCGGAGGAGTTTTTCCACAGATGGACCAGGGAGAGAGTGCACGACATCGGTGGGTGACCCCGCTGGCTTCCCCTCTTGGTTGGGTGATGCGGGAGAGGGGTGGATCACAAAGCAAGGCCCAGTCCACCTGCCTCATGTTTCAACGTCATCTCTGTGGTTCAGAGATGAGAAAGCAGCTAGGGTGGGGTCGTCCCTGCCTGGAGGGGAGGGTGATCAAGTCTCCGGCACAAACCTCAGGGGTCCGCCCGGGGCCTGGCTGGGGGTGGAGGAGGGGCCAGCAGAGTGGTACAGTGCCCAGGAGAGCTAAGGGGGTAGGGATCCACAAGCACAGTTACAGGGGGGCTTCTAGGTTCCCTGTCCTCTCTGGGACCCGCGCCCCTTACCTGTCATCACCCCTCTTCTCCACCACCCTGTCCCTGGTCTCTAAGTCTCCAATGCCAGGGCCTTAACAACTAGGCAAAGAAGGTGTGAACCTCACTTACAGTGCTGACCCCTGGGTGCCGGGTAACCATGCAGGCTCCGCCTGGGCCACCGGGGGACCCCAGCTCTTGTGACCCGCCTTCCGTCCTCCCTCTCCCCTGCAGAAGATGAGCCACTCCTGCCCGAAATCCCCAAATGTGATGCCAACGTCTTGGACACTACAGTGGTGATCCCAGGGTCGTGGCTCTCCAATACTTTCCGCAGCATCCTCACCCACCGGGCCTTTGTGTCTCAGTTCCACAACTTCCTGTTGGGCCTGCAGTTGCACACCGACTACCTCCAGAACAGCCAGTTCTCCATGTGGAGAGGTAACCCTCCCTGGCCGCCTGCCTCTGCCTGGATAAAGCGGAAGTGCGTGTCGAGGCTGCCGTGGAGAAAGGGTGGCAAAGCTCCTCTGACCATGTTCGTAGGGGTGGGGGGAAGGGGGGGCAGACTCTCCCGAGGGCGTCTTCCATGTTTGGTGAGGTTCTGAACGTAGGTGGAGCAGTGTTGGTATTTAATTACTTGAATCTGTACAACAATCCCAGCAGGTAGAAGTTGGGACCCTGTTGGGGAAATGTGGGCCCTGACTTTCTCTCGTTGTGCTCTGGGGGCACCTTTTAATGTGAATGGTGCCCCCAAGAGTTGGGTAGGGAAGGCCCAGCTCAAGAACCCCCAAATGGTAAGTGGCAGAGCCAGGTCTTAAATTGTGGTCATGTAGCTTCAACTCAGTGCTTGAAGATTGACTCGCCCCCATCGTTGGTATTTTCCTTGGCCACAGCCTGCAAATGGCTGCTTTGACCTAGCCTAGTAATCCTCATTCTCGCTGTCTGGGGCAGAAAGCGTAGCTGGCTCTGGGCCCAGGGTGTGCACTAATTTATAAGATAGTCTTATACCCCCGCAACCCCAAAGCTCTGTGGCTGAGTCAGAGTGGTTTTTCTCTGTGTGTTCCATAAAAGACTTGCTACAACACCAAGATAATGCTCTTCTTTATCAGCCCACCCCAAGGGGCACTGGGACTCACTGGGGGTCCTGGATGGAAGGGGGAGGGCCCAAAGCCCAGGCCCAGGGGAAGGAGCTCCAGGCAGGGCATTCTGTCCACAGAATGGGACCATCCGCTGAGATCAGGGCACCAGGGCGTGATGGTAACTGGAAATCTTGGCTTTCAGACACGGTGCTAGATGGTTTCCCAAACCAGCTGACAGAGTCTGTGAGCCACCTGTGCCTGTTGGACACCGCATTCTTCATCAACTCCAGCTACCCTCCCCTCCTTAGGCCCGAGAGAAAAGTCGACCTCATCATCCACCTCAATTACTGTGCTGGGTCCCAGACAAAGGCGAGTGTGACAAAGAAATGCTCCTGCCTGAGCAGGAGCGCTGTGCCTCTTCTGAGACAGGCCACATACTGAGCCTTCACGAAACTGGGAAATGGAAGAACATGCGTTCCCCACAGGCCCCAAGACTTAGCATCAGAGAAACTCAGGTGGCTCTACCTGACATGAGGTTAGCCATCCAAGCCTCGGGGGGCAGCTGGCTGGCCCTCACATGCAGTGTGGGCTTTAAAGAGACCCAGGGAGTGAATTCTAGTTTTATTTCAGCAATTTTATTATCTGACCATTTGCTGTATTTGGCAATTCATCAGCTGCAAAAAAAAAAAAAAAAAAAGGAGTTCTTAAAAATAACCTTAATGGAGTCCAGTCAGTTCTAAAGTTTTATACCACTTCAAGAGTTTCTAATGTCCTATTTTCAAAATAATCACATTGCCCTTTTCCTCAGGAAATATGACCCTCCATGTGATTATATTAAAAGCCAGGGCCAGAGGTTTTTATTTATTTTTCTCTATTTACCTTTGAAAAGTTCTGGCCTTTTAAGGGGAAGAAACTGTTCTTTGGTCTCCTTTAGTACAGTCTTATCCTGAAGCCCAGGAAAGGGGCGTACAGACAGAGGATAAGCCTGACACCAACTATAAGGAGTCAAGTTTATAAATGAGTGACAACGTGCTTTCCTACACCTGCTCTCTCTTGATCTTTACACCAGCTCTTCAAGGTGGATGGCACAACTGCTATTATTCCTGTGTTATAGGTTGGGAAACTGAGGCACAGAGAGGGGTCAGTGGCTCACTCAAGATCACACTACTAGTGAGCTTGGAACGGGGGGCAGAAGTAAGGGGATTCTGACATTCTCAGTCCACCGCTCTTTCTGTTACATCATGTTTATAAAGATGCCCTTTCAGAGTCCTTTCCAGCCTTGTGGCCCTTTGTCCGTTCCAAAGGCCATGCACATCCCCCAGGAGCCTGGCCGGACATGGCCAGATGTGCATAGCTCCAGTCACCCTCCTACTGCTGCCCACATCTACCCAGGTCTGTGTTTGGGTGAAGCATCATTGAAAGGGCTTCTGTGCACCTTCAGAAGGAGCTTGTAGTTGGACCCACACCAACATACTGTCTCAGGCTCTTTGTTCTGAAAATAGCACAAAGAGGCAAAGTAGTTGGAGACCTGAGTTGTTAGCTGGGGAAATCAGGAAGCTGGATCTAGAGCTCCATGTTGCTTACCCACCCCCACCCTTCCTAATCCTCCAACGTGTCCTGTTCTTTTCCAGCCCATGAAACAAACCTGTGAGTACTGCACCGTGCAGAACATCCCCTTCCCCAAATACGAGCTGCAAGAGGACGAGGAAAACCTCAAGGAGTGCTACTTGCTGGAGAACTCCCAGGAGCCTGATGGCCCCATCGTCCTTTTCTTCCCACTCATCAACGACTCCTTCCAGAAATACAAGGCCCCAGGTAAGCCGCCTCTGAACTCGGTTCCCACCACTCACTGGTCTTGGGCTGAGAGCTCCTATGTTTGGACTTGTGCAGTCTTCTGACTTGACTAACAGGGAAGCCCAGCTTAGCTCTAGTCTGAACCAACCTTGGCTTTGGAAGAAAGCAAAGCCCCCCACCCCTGCACAAGCCAGCAATGTCATCCTCTACTCTTTCAGTCATTCAACATTTATTGACATCCCACTAGGTGCCTGGCTCTGTGTCCTGCTAGGGTGGTCCTAAGATGGGCAAACTGCATCCCTGCCCTGAGGAGCATGGAGGTGTGCATGTGCATGTGTGTGTGTGCGCCCACATGTGCTGGGACAGGCCATGGGGAGAGAGACAGACACAAGCCATTACAACCTTCTGTGTATAGTAAGTCCTTCTGCTGCCTCCAGGTGTGGAGCGAAGCCCTGAGGAGCTGGAACACGGCCACGTGGACATTTATGGCCCCCAAACTCCATACGCTACCAAGGAGCTGACATACACAGAGGCCGCCTTTGACAAGCTGGTGAAGCTCTCTGAGTACAACATCCTGAATAACAAGGACAAGCTCCTTTGGGCCTTGAGACTGGCGGTGGAGAAGAAGAAACACCTGAAGAGCGAGTGTCCCTCCTAAGTCCCAGCGAGCCTCACCGATCTTGTGTCTGCTTCTATGGTCAGAGGCGTGGTGTCCCTCCTAAGTCCCAGCGAACCTCACCGATCTTGTGTCTGCTTCTATGGTCAGAGGCGTGGAGCCCATCAGGGCTGACCAGCCTGCTCAGCCGGCTCTGCTCTCTGGCAGGGGGCGTAGGCAGGCTGACCAGGGCATTTTATCAAAAAAATAAAAATTTTAAAAAGTTGAGGGAGATAGAGAAAGAAACAAAAGGAACATAACACAGGCATGTGTTGGGATTTTCAACCCACAGGAATTTTTTTAAACCTTTCCCTGCAGGGAAGGGGTCCAGTAGCCACAGGGTCCCACACATGCCTCAAGTATGGAGAATAAAAGCGTGGCCTGCGGAAGAGATGAGTTCCCCAGAAACAGCCTGCGAGCTGGAGCTAAAAGCCCCCTCAATTCTACTCCTCTCGGCCTCCTGGCACAGAGGGCCTCCAGGAATAAACAAGAGGAGGACCTGAAGAGTACTCTGGGTTCTCTGGAAAAAACGCCTTTTTAAACTTAAGGCAATCATTATTTTTTTTTTTAAGATTTTATTTATTGAGAGGGAGAGAGAAGGATAGCATGAGAGGGAGGAGGGTCAGAGGGAGAAGCAGACCCCCTGCTGAGCAGGGAGCCCGATGTGGGGCTCAATCCCAGGACCCTGGGATCATGACCTGAGCCGAAGGCAGTCGCTCAACCGACTGAGCCACCCAGGAGCCCCAAGGCAATCATTATTTTTATAGGCTATTATATTTTGTGGTTTTCGTTGTTTTGAATCAGGGTATTCATAGATAGTGTGATGATCTAGAAGATCTAGACCGAGCACTAGACCGAGAACTGGTCTCTTCAGCAACAAAGCCAAACAGGTGACGGGCGGGTCTCAGCAGTCCCTCTCCAGCCGCTCAGAGCCCCTGGAACACTGATCCCTGGGATCTCAACCAGGCAGCCTCATCTGAGCACCTAGCTCCAATGACATGCCCAGCAAAGCCCATGTCTGCAGCTCAAGCTCTCGGAACGAGAATCTGGGGTGCAGCTCAGGGATGTCTGAGCAGGGAAACGGAGTCAGGCATCAGGCCAGCACTCGCCGGCCAGCCTGTCCCAGGAGCACTCCTTGGTTCCCTTCTCACCTTCTTCTCTGGTTTCCAGACAGGATTATTTATTCTAAACGGGATTCCTCTTATTTATCATGTAAACACCGTGGCCGGAGGCGACTCTCAACAAGGAAGACTCAACCCTTGAAGGAGTAGGTTAGCCCTGAGGAAGAAGCCCATCCATCCTTGCAGAAGGTTGGCAGACAAATCACTGGGAAAGCCCTGGGACACGGAGAAGCCCAAAGTATCCAGGCCTACTAGGAATTTGACTAAAGAAATATATAACCTGAGCCATGGAGATGTCCAGGCCGATGGAAGATGTGACCAGAAAGGCATGAAGCCCAACAAACCTGGAAGACTTGGCCCTCTTTCCTGGCCTCTATGCTCCTGAAGCAGTCCTTGGGTTGCTAGGAAATGATGAGTGGTGACAAGTAACGAAAGTCCAGAAAAATCGGCTTCCAAAATCCATCCTTGCTACTCAAAGTGTGGTGGGGGACTGGTTAGACATGCAGAGAAGCTCAGGCCCCACCCCAGGTCTGCTGGATCAGAATCTGCATTTTAAGGAGATTCCCACCTCCTCTCTGCGCACCACCCACATCCCCATGAGGCTACACGTATTAAATTTCAGTGGTGTGGATTTATGCCACACTCTCCTATAAGCTTGGAAAGCAGGAATTCATCAGTGCCCCTAACCCACTGGTAAACAGGGCTCCTGGACCTGCAAAACTGATCCCCACCCAGATAAGTCGGACCTGGGATGCCGCCCGTCCTCTACGCCAGAGCAGCCAACAGCCTCCACTTTGACATCTTTTCTCTCCATCTGCAACAAACAGGCTCTCCTTAAATTAGAGTGAGCCATGCTGTAAGACCTGTTTGCTGGACAGTAAAGACAGCCCTGCCTTGGATTCATCAAAGTATGTACAATGAGGCTTATAAAATCATTGTAGTATTTGAGCCCAGAATAAAATGGCCATGTGGGTAAATGCTGTTGACTCATCTTCATTCATTATCTGGTGCTGCAAAACCAGCCTGACTCCTGCCCTCACCCCTGCCTGGGCTTCTCACACACCACTGTGTTCTGTCCCCACGTCCCCGTGAAAACACTTCTCCCCAAGGTCACCAATGTCCTGATTGCCAGATACGCTAAGCCAAATGGCACCAGCCCTTTACAGGCCTTATCTTACTTGACTGTTCTCAATATTTGGCACCACAGACCACCCCTCCTTCCTGAAACCCTCCCTTCCCACACTTCCTTGCCAACAGCAGTTCAACTCAGTTCCGCCTGCAAATATTTCTTGCTTTCTCGCTGTATGCCAGTCACTGTGGTAGGCACTGGGACAATAAAAATGATTAACAGTTGACCCCACACTTCAAGGAGCTTCCTCCTCGTCCCACATAGAAGAGCTTCATCAAAACAGAGCCTTGCAAAACAAAGGGAAAGTTTGGTATTAGCCGTGTACACATGAGGAACACATTAGGGGCTGCCAACTAGGCTTCCCCCTAGAGGGAAGGGTCCAGGTTTGCTGGACACCATCCATCCTGGTTTCCTTCCCACTTTCCAGCCCTTCCTGTGGTCTCACCTCCCCTGCTCTCCATTAACTGCTGGTATTCCCTAAGGTTCTCTCCTCAGCTCTCCTCTCTTCCCACTCCATACTCTCCTTAGGCAATCTCGTCTACAGCCAGGACTTCAACTACCACTTCTATTTTGAAAATTCTCAAACCTTTAGCTCCAGCCAAGCCAGTTTCCTAAGTTCTTGTTTCATGTATTCAAATTCTATACCAGTTAGCATTACTTTTCATTACATAATCAAAAAGATCAAAAAACTTTTGATCTTTTTATTCTTAAGAGTGTCTTAAAGAAGATAGAAGAAATTGATTTATCTATTTCTTAGCAGATACCCAGGCTCCTTTCAGCTCTTGCTTCTGCCATCCTCAAGTTTGCCTTCTGGTCCAATATGGCTGCTGGAGCTCCACCCATTGTGTCCACATTCCAGACAGCAGGGAGGATAAAGGGATCTGAACTCCTGCTGACAATGAACACACCAATCTAGCCCTGGTCTGCCTACCTCTGAACTTCTTTTCTGTGACAGAAAACTAAACTTTTACCTTAACAAGATAATGAGAATTACCAGTTGTCCCAATTATCTATTGTTGAGCAAACAAACAAAAACAAAACAAAACAAAACAAAATGTAGGCATAAAAGAACAACCATTTGATTATGCCCACAGATTCTATGGGTCAGGAATTTAAAAAGGGCACAGCAAGGACAACTCTTATTCATGGGTGGGGCCTCCCCTGAAATGACTTGAACTGCCTGGGGAGGGCTCAGATGGCTGGGGTCTGGAATAGCTGGAGCTGAAGGGTCTGAGATGGCTCTTTCCTTCACATATCTGGTTCCTGGGTGACCAGAGGACAAGCTCAGTCCGACTGACTGTCAGAGCACCTTCACGCGGCCTCCTCAGCGTGATGGTCTCAAGATCATCAACCTTCTTAAATGGCAGCTCAGGGCTCCAAGAGCGAGTGTTACTCGGTGACAGGTGCACAGTGTATTATGACCGAGTGTCCGAAGTCACAGAACATCACTTCCACAGTATGCTGTTGGCGGAAGCACTCACAAGCCAGCCTGGATTCAAGTGGACAGGACCAGGATCCCATCTCTCGATAAGAGGCATGTCGAAAAATACGTGTGGCTGTATTTTAAATCCCAGCCTGCAGTAATTGAATCCTTAATGCTGACCCTCACCTCTCTTCCACTAAGGAATGTCACATTTGGGGTTCTGTTACTGGAGATTCCATTTCTAGGAACAAACTCAGTGTTAGGAATTACTTTCATCTCTCACTAGCAGAGACCTAACAAATAGGGGCTTCAATACATTCATGTGAAAGCCCACAAGGAGGTCATCCAAGGCGGGCATGGCATGTCCAGGATTCATCAGGGATTCTGCCCCTCCCAGCTCTGATTTACCTTCTCATGTGTAGTCCTTGGCCTCGTGGTCCAGGATGCGCCCTGAAGCTCCAGCCATCGTATCCCTATCCCAGACTACAAGAGAGAGGAAGGGGAGAGCAAGATTGAACTCTTTTCTTTCTAAAGGAGACTTCCTGCAACTCCCACACATCCTTCAGGTAACCTATCAGCAACCAGCCCTTGGTCTTATGATCACACTTAATTGCACAGACAGGAAATTTTGTTTTTACCTGGGGGGCAATGCGCCTGGCTGAAAATGAGAGTTCCGTTGCTGAAAAACAGACCATGTGTAGGCAGCTGGCTGTCTTACTGCAAGTACCTCCCAGACATCTCCACCTGCCGTGTCCTATAAGCTACATCTCCAAGTGGCAGCAGTGACCTGGGTGAGTGGCACAGAGAAAGGAGAGGTGTGTCTGAGAATGAAGGGGGCTCTTTGCAGGCCAAAGTACCTCCTCTAATCTCTTTAGCATGTGTCTCTCAGGACTTTAACTACTCTGGGACTCAAAGTATCAGAGTAAGACACTGCACTTGTTATGCATGTAGAACCAAGCCCTGAATACCATCTACAGCTAACCTTGTGAGGGGCGCCTGGGCGGTGAAGTCAGTTAAGGGTCCAACTCTTTTTTTTTTTTTAAAGATTTTATTTATTTATTTGAGAGAGAGAGAATGAGAGACAGAGAGCACGAGAGGGAAGAGGGTCAGAGGGAGAAGCAGACCCCCCGCTGAGCAGGGAGCCCGATGTGGGACTCGATCCCGGGACTCCAGGATCACGACCTGAGCCGAAGGCAGTCGCTTAACCAACTGAGCCACCCAGGCGCCCCGGGGGTCCAACTCTTGATTTCGGCTCAGGTCATGATCTCAGGGTCATGAGATAAAGCCCCATGTCGGACTCTAGGTTGGGCGTGGAACCTGCTTAAGATTCTCTCTCTCCCTCTCCCTCTGCCCCTCCCCACATTGCTCATGCCCAGGAGCTCGCACGCGCTCTCTCTCTCCCTCTCAAATAAATAAATAAATAAATAAATAAATAAATAAATAAATAAATAAAGCAGACCTTGTGAACATCAAATTACCAAGAATAAGAAGGAAAAAAACCCTTCCACAAGAATTACAATTAAAATTTCCATATAGCAAAGAGAGTTGAGTCTTATTATCAAAATACATATTTCATGAATTATTTAATCCAACAAAAATCCAGGTAACTAATGGCACGCTCTGTAAAATTACCTGAAATAGGATTTAGCCTGAAAAAACAATTCGATTCAGATGAAAAGGTGACTATAACTGGGATTGTTGAGTCTGAAGAAGGAAAACCAGAAGAGGATTCCAGCTTGCAAATGGATGCAAGATGATTATCCAAAGGAGTGCCCATCACTCTCCTGCCCCACTAAGGACAGATCAAGAACACGAAAGCAGGGGCTGCAGTTGTATGAAGACAGAGAAGGGAGAAAAGTAAGACATTATGATGTGTCTTCTTGCTCCAGGCTCTTTCAGGACTTTCACTGGTTTTAAAGATTAAAGGCAGTAACTTTTTTTCTTCCTTCAAATTTTTTTCCGATTATAAAACAAGAACATGATTATTGTGTAAAATCTGAAAAATGCTAAAGCACATAAAGAAGGAAACTAAGATCATTTATCATTCCAAAATTCAAAGATCATTACTGTTTTGGGGTTTGTCTTTCCCATGTTTTCACTTCCTTACTTTAAATTTTTTTTCAAAAGTACAAAAACCCTATAGATTCATTTTTTTAAAAATTGTGGTAAAATATACATAACATAAAATTTACCACCTTAACCATTTTTAGGTGTATAGGCCAATAGTGTTAACTATGATCACATTGTTGTGATCTCCTGAATTTTTTCATCTTGCGAAACTGAAACTCTATACTACTGAAAACTCCCCCATTTCCTACTCCCTCCAGTCCCTGGTCACCACCATTTGACTTTCTGTTTCTATGAATGTGACTACTTTAGATACCTCATAGAAGTGGAATCATATGCTATTTGTCTTTTTGTAACTGGTTTATTTCACTTAGCATCATGTTCTCAAGGTTCTTGTAGATAGTGGCATATGACAGGACTTCCTTCCTTTTTAAGTCTGAATAATATTTCATTGTAAGTATATACCACATTTTGTTTATCCACTCATCCATCAATGGAAACTTGGGTGGCATCCACCTCTTGGCTATTGTGAATAGTGCTGCTATGAACACGGATGTGCAATATCTCTTAGAGAACCTACTTTCAAGGTTTTTGGATATATACCCAGAAGTAGGATTACTGGATCATATGGTAGTTCTATTTTTAATTTTTCAAGGGATTGCCATACTGTTTTCCATAGTAATTGAATGTATTCTCTCCTGTAATCTTTTTTCCACTTAAAAATATATTCTTCTTAATCGCAGGAAACAAACTGAGTGTTGTTGGAGTGGGGGGTGGGGTGGGAGGGATGGGGTGACTGGGTGATAGACACTGGGGAGGGTATGTGCTCTGGTAAGCACTGTGAATTGTGCAAGACTGTTGAATCTCAGATCTGTACCTCTGAAACAAATAATGCAATATATGTTAAGAAAAAAAAAAGAAGAAGAAGAAGGTAGCAGGAGGGGAAGAATGAAGCGGGGGAAATCGGAGGGGTGGACGAACCATGAGAGACGATGGACTCTGAAAAACAAACTGAGGGTTCTAGAGGGGAGGGGGGTGGGAGGATGGGTTAGCCTGGTGGTGGGTGTTGAGGAGGGCACATTCTGCATGGAGCACTGGGTGTTATGCACAAACAATGAATCATGGAACACTTCATCTAGAACTAATGATGTAATGTATGGGGATTAACATAAGAATAAATAAATATATATATATATTCTGAGTATTTTCCCAGGTCATTAACATTCTTTTTATATGACACAATTTTCAGAGACTGCATAGGAATCCATTATCTATCTAACTAATCCTCCATGCGGGAACAGCTAATCACAGCTTTTCACTATTATAAGTGTTATGCTGATAAACATGCTTTAGATAAAGCTTTACATTGACTATTTCCTCAGGGTAAAATTTCTGAGTCTAGAAGTATGAGCATTTCTAACAACTAATAAAGGTATAATTGACACATGATAAACCGCACATATTTAAAGTACACAATTTGATGAGTTTCTGCAGATGTATACAACTGTCAACTATCACCACAATCAAGGTAATGAACAAATCCTTTGTACTCATGCCCTTTGTAATTCTTCCCTATGCTCTTCCCCTGCTGCATCATGTGGTAGGTATATGCTTTACTTTTTAAGAAATT